TGATGATGATGATGATGATGATGATGATGATGATGGTGATGATGATGATGCTGATGACGATGATGATGATGATGATGATGATGATGATGATGATGATGATGATGATGATGATGATGATGATGATGATGAGGAGGAGGAGGAGGAGGAGGAGGAGGACGAGGAGTATGATTATGATGCTGAGGCTGATAATGATGACGAGGATACTGCTGCTGCTGATGGTGATGTTGATGATGATGATGATGATGCTGATGATGCTGTTGATGCTGCTGCTGATGGTGATGATGATGCTGATGATGCTGCTGCTGATGATGAGGAGGATGAGGAGGAGGGGGAAGTAGGAGGGATGAGGGAGGGGAGGGAGGGATGAACAGAGGGAAGGAGGGTGGAGGAGAAGAAGGAGGAGGAGGGAGGAGGAGGAGGAGGAGGAGGAGGAGGAGGAGGAGAAGGAGGGGAAGGACGAGGGAGGAAGAGAAGGCGGGAGGGAACGAGGGATGATGATGATGATGATGATGATGATGATGATGATGCTGATGCTGATGCTTATGATGATATGATGATGATGCTGATGATGCTGATGCTGATGTTGATGATGGTGGTGATGATGATGATTCTGCTGCTGAGGCTGATGCTCATGCTGATGATGATGCTGATAATGATGCTGATGCTGCTGCTGTTGTTGATGTTGCTGATGCTGATGATTATGGTGGTGGTGATGATGCTGATGATGATGCTGCTGATGACGATGCTGCTGTTCATGATGATGATGACGACGATGACGTTGATGATGATGCTGCTGATGATGATGATTCTGCTGCTGAGGCTGAAGATGATGACGATGACGATGCTGATGCTGATTATTATGATGATGCTGATGATGCTGATGCTGATGCTGATAATGATGATGCTGATGATGATGACAATGATGATGATTATGATGATGATGCTACTGCTGCTGCTGATGATGATGATTATGATGATGACGATGATTATGATGATATGATGATTGATGATGCTGATGATGCTGACGATGATGATAATGATGATGCGGCTGCTGCTGCTGCTGATGTTGATGATTATGATGATGATGATGATGATGATGATGATGATGATGATGATGCTGATGATGATGATGATGTGATGATGATTCTGCTGATGATGATGATTGATGCCTATTGTGATGAGATGTGTGATGATGATTGATGCTGATGATGATGATGATGATGATTGATGCTGATGGTGAATGACGATCGTGATGCTACTGCTGCTGCTGCTGAGGAGGAGGAGGAGGTTGGAGAAGGAGGAGGAGGAGGAGAAGGAGGTTGGTTAGAGTGAGGTGAAGGAGGAGGAGGAGGAGGAGGAGGAGGAGGAGGAGGAGGAGGAGGAGGGGTAGGAGGAGGGAGGAGGGGGAATGGGGAGGAGGGCTGAGAGCGGAGGGAGGATGGAGGATGGAGGAGGGAGGAGGAAGGCCTGCAGCCACTCTGGGTCAAGCTTCCGAACCGCGCGTTGCCCACTTTTCTGCGGGCCTGCGTTGGGGCCATGGAGCTCCGCGCGGTCGCGCGATGGACGGTGGCCTCGCGACTGCGCGCGCCGCTGACCAGTCCCCAGAGGCGACGTCGTGGTGGTGGTAGTTGTCGTCGTGGTCGTTGCGCTGGTCGTCGTCGTCATGATCGTCATCGTGGTTGACTCTGTGGTCGTCGCCGTGGTCGTCCCCTGAGATCTGGGCGTTCCGTTTTTTTGTTTTTGTTTTTGTTTGCGCACCCGGCGTTGTCGCCCACTTTCGGGCATCACAGATCCATCAGGCTCAAAAGATGCATCAGAAAGGTGGCATCTGGGGCTCCAGTCGCGATGCTTCGCGATGCCGCAAATCCTTCGCGGCGTCGGATCTCAGGGTCGTGGTGGTGGCGGTTGTGGTGGTGGTGCGCTCGGGAACTCTTGTGGACAGCGTGGCGCTCTGCCATTTCTGACGAACGAACAACACACACCCATACCCATAGGGGGGTCGTTGGGAGGAGGACTGGCTATGGGTATGGGTGCGGGTTGTCGGACCCTGAGGAACGCTCCCGTTCGAGCGGGGACCCCCATCCGACAACACGCACCCATAGCCCTCTCCGACCCCCCTATGGGCATGGGTGTGTGTTGTTGGTTCGTCAATGTCTGGCCCACCGCGTTTCGGCGCGACACGCTATCCACTTCCCAGTCCCCAGGCTTCAGCGTGCCGAGCCTCTCCGAGCCTCCCGCCCTGCGTGGCGGCGCGACACGCCATTCGCTCGCCAAGGCACAGCGTGTCGCCAGGGCCGCCGCGGCGACACGCGAAGCAGAAGTTCCCGAACGTAGTGGTGGTCGTCTTTCGTCGTCGGAGGGCGGCGGCGCCATCGCGGAGGCGAGGGATCATCAGGGGCAACGATGTGGGTTGATAGGCGTAGGGGGGAATACATCGACTCCCAATCGCCCGTTCATCGCCGACAGGGGCCCGATAGCCCTACCCTGCCCAGAAGCGTGC